TCTGCTCGACCGAAAACGACACAAGGCGTTAATCATGATCTAATGTCATGTCTGTGAACCTCTGACAGTCCCTTCTAAAACACTACCTCCACAGTAGCAACAACAGTGATCAAATAATGGCTGACAGGAAGCTTTTTATCACGCCTGACGGAGCAGAAACTCACAGATCGGCTTATATATTTTGTGCAGACATGTTGTTGCATTTGAAATCTGAGAGTTACTTAAAGTTAAGTTACTCAAAATTGAAACTAAAGCCGATAGTTCACTGAATGACACTGGCACTGCATTCAAGAGGGGGAGTTTCCACTCATGGTTTACGGCAAAACCCAGCAGGAGACAAAACATGGACACCCTGTTCGCTTCCTCATGTTTTGACTTAAGAATAAACTGACTGCTGGGAGACGATGTGAAAGTTTATCAAAGTTGTCCCTGTGCAGGGCAGCCTGCTCACTTCCCTTCTTAGTTTTTTCCCCTCCAGACACACCCCCTTTTGCACACTGCTCTCCAAAAGAGGGGAAAATGAAGCTACTCCAACTCCCGACCCAGTACTTTCAAACAAATCCTCTCTTACCTGCACTAGAAGAAGGATAGAAACTTTCTGGTGGAACTTCTGTGAACCTTTTAAGGCTGAACCAAAGCTGAGAGCGTGGCAGCGGTGCAGCAGCGCCCGTCTCCCAGACGCATACTGGTTGTAGTCCAATGTATGACATACCTCCCTCCCTCCCCCTTTCACTCCGTCTCTTACTCTGCCTCCCTCCCACTCTGCTACGTTCCCCACAGCGAGGCCGCACTACAAGTAAGCTGTCATATGGCTTCTTTCAAACTGAAACCAACAGCACACAGCTCTCTATTGCCACATTATGTCAAAGGGAATAACTTTAATTCCAAATCATGAATATTACAGTGAAACACACTTTTTAAATTGCATTCACAAAGGTATATTTTTTACTTGCAAAGCAAAAGGAATCACTTCCTAGTTGAGAAACAATATATAGAAGAATTCCAAACTAAACATCTAACCCTTCAAAAGTATACTTAATAAACTTGCACACTTCAATTGATAATTCTCCAAGCTCTAAATTCAGCCAAAAACGTATTAAAATGTTTACAATTTTTACCTTAACAGGTAGTTTCTAACTGTTTATTGTGTCACATAGATTTCAGCAGTTTGTTGCCTGAAAACAGGTTTGTTGCTGCAACAAAGATCCAATGACAAGAGGCATCAATAAGCATGGTTATGAGGCACACAATATACATGGACTGAATATACAAAATCCTAAAATGAAACTTCTCAAAGCCAGACAGCCACACCCTGATAATGTTATTAGGGTTCAACCACCTCGTCTTCTAACATACATACAAATTACACCTCTGGTCAGGCATTTTACTGACCAATGATCAAATTGTTTTAACATATAGCAGCCCAAAAATTATGCAACAGCGCCTACATTTTTACAAAAGTTGGTGAGCTTACGGTGGCTTAACACATTCTGATACGGTCACTCTGTTCTAATAAAAAAACACAGCTCAAGTCAAGAATTTTCTGCTACACCTCTACTCATGATGATCTCACAAAAAAGATACAAGCATAGAGTCTCCATTTCCTCTTTGAGCCCAAGCTTTGGACATATTGGTGAAAATCTCAAAACTGATTCTGTTCACGGTGTCAGAGCCAATCAACGATCCAAAAAACAAATGCTCTTAAAACCAGGCAACTGGAGAACTTCAGAGTTACCTATGCTGTCAGAAGAATAACCACTTCGTTACACTTCGTGACACAGCTTGAAGCAGAAGAATAATTCTGAAGACACCTCGTTCTGCAAACATAACGTGACTTAAACACCATGAACATGATTGCCATCATTCTGCCGACGGAGGAGATTTCAATCAGCTGAAAACAACACGCCCCCGTTCCCCATCACATGCCTGCTGCGTCATCTCACTCGATACGCTACAATTAGAATAGATTCTACCGAAATGACAATAAACTACCTAACAGGGGGGTACATTATTTCATAATAAAGACTAAAAAATAAAAAACTGGGCCATTAGCCTAGATAACAAAACATAACCGCAGGTACCACCCAGGCAAATCCTGCCTTAGAATACAGTCGGACGACACTTAATAGGCTGGGTACCATCTAAATTATATGATTTTTGATAGAACCCAGACGTAACAGATTTAAGAAATATATCTGCAATAATTAAATTGGTTTATACATATATAAATAAAAATCAAGAGATTTGATCACTCGTTACAAATTCTGTGCTGCGTCAGACAGATATTCATGTAAGCAAAAAGGAATAAAGACTAAAATTTCAAAGAGTCCATTGAAGATAAACCAGCTAAACTCTCATTTTTAGGACATGTGAAGATTCAAACACTATTACTGAGCGGAAGATTATCAGATCCATTCAATTGGGAAACAGAAAGAAATTATTTATAAGCATTTACCAGCTTGAATCTTTTTTTTTTTTATTCACTGTTCCCAGTGTCACATGTTAATTGTCATGATCACGTTACTAATTGATTTGGCTGCCTATGTCATGTGTGTCATACAAGAGCAACCCGGGGATTGGGAAAGTAACATTTTCACAAGCTTTCAATCCTTAGATTTGAAACATATAAGGTCAAATGCTCCATTTGAGGCCCGTTTACAGTACATTCTAACTGATTATGTTCCAACATCTGGGCCAAGATTTAAAGTGAAGAATTTAAGAATTTTGAGTGTAAGCTTAACAAACTTCTAATGGAGCTTCTTCATTTCAGGTCATGTTTATCCATTTATATTTTTCCTGGTACTCCACTGCTCAGTGAAATTTAAAAAGAACAAAATCACAACAGAGAAGCTTAAGAGACAGTGATTAGATTCTTTTTTGCGCTATCATTTTCAGTTCCACATTTCCCTGTGTTAAAGACAAAAATGTTTAACACAGGGGGGATCCCAGGGTGCTTTCTCTGGCTAGAAATTTCCAGAGAATAACAGGTGCTCTGTTCGCTTCGTTATAACACAACAGGTGTAAACCAATGCCAGGGATGACAAAGTTAAAAAACACGTATGGTGAAAGTGAAAGTGGACGCAATCCCCACTGCAGGCTAACACTGAACAGTAAGGCGACAACTCGACAAACCGAAAGTGTGCCTGTGCGCGTATGTCCAATGTTTGTAAGAGCTAGCATCATGCTAACTACCGGATAGCAACATTATTGGAAGCTAGTGGTTAAATAAACGCTTATTTGACCCCACAAAACGGCAAAACAGATCAGAGTTCACACGTCCATCACACGCCTGACTGACTGAGAACATGCCATGTACAATGCGTTGTTTAAAAGTTACTTCATTTTGAAAATTAAATCGAGTTACTCACTCAGAAAGAATCAGCTGACACAACGGTGACTCAGTAGACTACACGACTTCCGCATTCTTGTGTGATGACAACAAGGATGGCCAATAGGAAAAAAGATAACCAAATAAATAGGACCAATGAGGCAACAGAATTTGTACCGGCCAATAATAATTGACCCCATTCAAGCCAGTGAATTGCACACACCCACAGCAGAGCCAATCAGACACCACTAAGCTCAAACAATCCACCAATAGAAAATCACAGCGCGGCACAAACTGGACACACACAAACTGTGCTGTACGTGCGAACACTCACATCTTCAGTCGTGAGAGTACAACTGGGTAGAGACATTTAAGGAATTTAAGACGTGTCGAGTTCCGCATTTCCCGGCTGATGGCAATTAACAACTGACAAAAAAACGGTTTGCTGTAATACAAAAGATATGTGAAAAATAAAAAAATAAAAAAACATTGAAACTACTTTATAGTCTCTCTCTATATATATATTTTTAGATGAAAATAAATAAATAAAAATAAATGAATGAATCTAAAAAAAAAATATTTTAAATCCCTTCGGGGATTAATAAAGTAATCTTTTTATTTGATATAAATAAGAATTTACCGCATTAGGGAATAAGCGGTACCGATAATGGATGGACAATTAAGAATTTAACACATTTTGCGTCTTCCAATATATTTGGAAATAGAAACAAATATATTAATAATTATTGATAATATAAAAACAAATACTTTGTAAGGTAAGACAAAAGATTTCATCCCATGTAGATATAATTACTTAGAACTTAACAAGTGAATTAATGCATGTGTTCCCTCTTATTGTATTTGCCCTGTGGCCATATTTTTCTGTGAAGTTAACTTAGAATAACTGTTTGAAAAAAAAGGGAACCTGCTTCTATTCAAATTTTATTACAGTTTTGGTAGTTTATTTTCTTCACTTTCTATCAATTTCAGTTGCATAAGTCTACTTAAGAGCTCTGCGATGGATTGGACCGTCCATTGGCTTCTGGGTTCAGCTCCATTTCCCCCCACAACCCCATTAGGGAATAAGCAGTTACAAAAATGTATGGATGAATGGAAGTCTGCTTAAGACTGTCAGTCCCATGATTACAACTAAGGACTTCTCTTTTCAGTGGGTGCTTCTGAATTAGAAATAAAGCTGGAACTGGTAACAGTGCGTGGAATTACAATATCAAAATACTGGAACAGGTGATCTGCTAAAGGGATTTAAATCACCTCACATGGAAGCATAAAGTTCTGGCTCTTGGTGGTTAATCAGACTGTGTAAAGGTTTGCAATTTATGTCATGCAATGCTGCTCCATCTGCTGGTTAAAATCTGAAACCATGGAGCGAAACACAAGGGCCAACTCATCTTTTCACCCTCACCATTTACATTATTCATTTGCATTTTTTTATTTTTCTGAAGTAGTCATCCCTGTTTTATTTTTTCCAAGTTTGAGAAGAGACCATTTTGTCGTTATTAAACCTCTCAGTTATTACACACTAGTAGTTTCTGTGAGCTCAGTTGCAGGCTCAGGTGTTATTTTTCCCGTTTGGGGCAGGATTTACATTTGGATGTCTGCACTTTGAGCTTTTCCTGATGTGAAGTTAATGTGTCAGTGTTGATTCTCTGAGGAGGGACAGCCGTACTGACAGGTTTCAGAAGAGTTGGGATTTTTTGACCACTGTGCCTGAACCTATCTGCTTAAGTGCATGAGGAAATGAGGAGGCGGACAGGTGGGTGTAGATCCTCAAAGACCAATCACAGCTGCTTATCAGGCCAGTACTTATTTGAAAGCTGTCAGACCTGGTGTTGATTTCTAACCTCTCTCTTCTCTATACTGAGACCCAATTGAAATCCCAGAATGGTAAGAGACTCAACTTTGATCCATATTGGTTGGAATGATCTGAGGGCATCTGGATGTCTGAGCCCATGTTAATGACGATGTATCTTTTTTTTTAGACAAGCTACACAGACAAAGGAGAAAAGGTGAGGGCGGATTAGGCACCAACATCACTTAAACCTCCATTAAAGTAGACCTGAGCGTCACAGCTACTGTGCTACTTCCAGCCAACTTTTCTTTATTTACAAATGCAATTCTTCTGCTTTTCTTTTACTTCCTAGCCCACCAAGGGGAAATTTCTCAGGTTTCATCATGTCACCTTCTGGGTTGGCAACGCTAAGCAAGTTTGTATTCCAAACTATTTCTAAAAGCAACACATCCTTTAATTTGATGTCTCTCGTTATAAATTCTTCTCACAGTAACTGAAATCTCATCATTTCACAGGCTGCTTTATTCTATTGCGATAAGATGGGCTTTGAGGCTTTGGCCTACAAAGGTTTGGAGACTGGCAGTCGAGAGGTGGTGTCTCATGCCATCAGACAGGATAAGGTAAACAGTTTTTCTGAATATTTCTTTGACATTCTGATTAAATAACTCTAACAGCAGGCCTGTTTTCCACACTAACACGACTCCCCCTCTCCCCTAACAGATAGTCTTTGTGTTTCAATCTCCGCTAAATCCTGGAAATGAAGGTAAGTTCATTTATCAGGTCAGTAAGATTTAAGGGATGAAGCTGTTAGCTGTTGTCACCTTTTTCACATTTTATTATGCTCTTTCAGAGATGGGGGAACACCTGATTAAACATGGAGACGGGGTCAAAGATATTGCTTTCCAAGTGGAGGACTGTGACTTCTTAACCAAGGTAAGGCGACAGAGCATGTGCTGCTGGGGTGTGTTTGACCTGTTATAAATCATGATACATTTTTTATAAAATGAAACGTTTCCTTCATTTGCTTGAAAACCTTTGAAACGACGTTTAAAATCCCTAAGGAAGCAGAAGCTTTTATTTTCACAAGTTTACTGGTGAAAGCATTATTCGTTCACAATGAGATTTGACATTTTCAGTCTTACTTTTACCTGTTTTTAAACTGTTAGATTACTTATGTGTATCCAAAATTGCTTTGAAATATAATGCTTAAAAAAGCAGGATTAATTTATAATGGGGTCAACTTGCACAAATAAAAGCAACATCAATGATTTTGCAATGACGCAAAATGAAATAACTAGATGGAAGCACTGCCGGGTGTAATAGAAATAGTTTAATATCAATATAACACAGATATAATAACACATATGATTTAAAGTAAAGAGGCTTATCAAAAGTTTTATTTCAAATGTACTTTGTGAGGAGTTCCTTAAAAACTAAAAGCACATTTTACAAATTGGGCAGAAGCCCAAAGCCCGTTATTTACTCTTCTTAGGCACTGAGGACACCAAGTGATGATAGATATTGAGGAAAAAAACAGAAAGGGTTGTAGATTTGTGCTGCCAGTATAAAATGCATGTCAAATACCCTAAAATAGCCTCTACCAGTGGGCAAGAAGAGTCTTTAATATGAAATATGCCCAATAATGTGTGTCTGTGTGTGTATATATATATATATACATTATATATCATCTATACAAGTTGGTGTACATATTTTTTAAACATTTTTCTGTCCATAAAAAAGGGTGAGGCTCCAAATAATTTCATAGTGTAATGTTAAAGTTCACTAGACAAAAAGTAAAGATTCTTGAGTGCTTGTGTCACTAGTTTAGATTCAGGTTCGTTTAGCTGTAAAGTTTGAAAATAGGTATATTGTAGATTCTGAGATGGGGTAAAATGAATGCTTATGTTGAAATAGGGGCAAACATGTCGGCGTCAGAACAGATTCTACTCAGATGGCCCTCTTTGAACTCTTTACCTCAGTCAAGGTCAGGCTGGAGGTCTGTTGACAGACAGACAGTTACAGAATCACCACTGACTCACTGCAGAGATCAATACCAAAGTCTCATCCTTCCTCCCGTAAGAGATTCCCTCTGTGGCCACTGGGAGGCTTCCAGGAGCCGTCAGTGAGCGTGGCTCTCTATTCCTGTTCTTAACATCTCTCCTCCAACAGACAGCCAAGGAGCGAGGAGCTGTGATCGTGAAGGAGCCCTGGGTGGAGCAGGACGGCCACGGGAGGGTCAAGTACGCCGTGATTCAGACGGTAAATACAGGGCAGCGGGTTTAAAACCCCTGTGTAATGACACGTAAAAGAATGGAGATAAACTCTGCTGTTGTGAATGGGTTTTGTGTTTCAGTATGGAGATACAACACACACACTCATCGAGTACCTTGGACCGTATAAAGGCCTTTTCCTGCCCAGCTACAAAGAGCCTATGTTCAGGGATCCTCTGTTAGACAAACTGTGAGTCTCTTAGAAGTTCTGCTGCAACAAATGTTTAAAAAAAGACGTGGTTGTGTTTAGTGCATAGCCACATATAAGTGGAACCTAATGCTCTTTTAAAATTGATTACCAGAATGATAGATAAATACTCAGGGCACTCCTTATTTTCGTTCAACTTGATTCACTTCTGTCATCTCAGGGAACCGCAAAGATGCAGTGTAACTCAAACCAGCTGTCCCATTCCTTTTAGTGTAATTATAATTCAATCAAATATAATTCTTTAAAACACAAATTTGTTGAAGATATTCCCATAATGCATGTCGAAAGAAAGAAAAACGGCAAGGACTTGTTCTCATCAGTTTAATCAGAAGGGGAAAAAAACAGTGTCATGTTCTTTTTAATATCTCTGTAGTCCAGCAGTGGGGTTGAACTTCATCGATCACATTGTGGGAAACCAGCCAGATGATGAAATGGTGCCAGTTTCAGAATGGTAAGATTCCTGCTCGAGTGCACGTACTCCCATTGTGTTTGTATGAGGTAAAAGGGCAGATCCTGCCCCGCTGTAGCAAAGTGACACGTTAATGCACAAATGTGTTGTCATTTTTTATACTTATCTGTTATCTCACCGTTTTTTTCTTGAATTCCAGGTATCAGAAGTGTCTGCTGTTCCACCGCTTCTGGTCAATAGACGACAAGCAGATCCACACACAGTACAGTGCACTCAGGTCTATTGTGATGACAAACTATGAGGAAACCATAAAGATGCCGATTAATGAACCTGCCATGGGGAAAAAGAAGTCACAAATCCAGGTGGGACTCCCTTTTTTGAGTATTTTTCCATCAGCTAGAGGTTGACCCCCGCAGGGTCCAGAGCTGTTATCTACACAGAGAAAAACAACAATCGTCCCATTACTGTCTGTGTATTGAGTGTGCAACATGTCCATGTTTACAGGAATATGTGGACTATAACGGGGGACCGGGCGTGCAGCACATCGCTCTCAACACGTCAAACATCATCCAGGCAGTGAGTCTCATGACTGACGGATGGCAGAAGTTATCCCACAGAGTGGATCATACCTTTTTTTCTCGTTTTTGGAATCCAACAGATTGTGAACCTGCGTGAAAGAGGGATGGAGTTCCTCGCAGCGCCCGACAGCTACTACGAAAGCCTGCGTGAGAAACTAAAAACGGCCAAAATAAAGGTGAAGGAGGACCTCAACCGTTTACAGGTGAGAGTCGCTCCTTGATTTCACTTTTGCCTTTTCCTTATGGACTCCTGTCATTGGGAGAATCTATTTGCTTGTTTCAGGAACTGAAAATCCTGGTGGACTTTGATGACAAAGGATACCTCCTCCAAATCTTCACCAAGCCCATGCAGGACAGACCAACCCTTTTTCTGGAGGTCATACAGAGGAATAACCACTTTGTAAGTGGCCAGTGAAGAAGTGTATCTCCCGTAGACTGAAGGGGATTTTTTGTCTTTGATCAAGTTTGATGCCTCACTGAAAGTCTGTGTAGAAAGATTCTGTGTCAATCACTGACTGAGCACCACTGTGACTGACCACTACTGTAGAGAACAGAATTATTGTGTATTTCTCACTATTATTGTTCTATGCACCTTTCTGCCTTGGACAGATGTCCTCTCTATTTAGTCAATTATCCTTTACTTGCTGGCTTTACAGGCCTGTGATCCCCCCCCCCCCTCCTTCACCACTTTTAAGAGGAAGATATAGAGCTGTCTGAACACCTGTTTACAGTTCCCACCCAGTGTGAACAGTATAAGACAAGCCCACTTGTAAAAGCTCAGTAAATCTATCACAGATATAGATTAAAAGGCTCACTGCTTCACAGAAAGGGGGATCTTTGGATTGGGTTGCACCCTGTGGCACTTGATTTATGACACCCAGCACCCATTCTGCTTGTTGAGACAGGCAGATCTTGTCACTTTCCAGAGCAGATGTGGGATAGAATGCATGAAAGTGAGAAACTGAATCCGAACCACAGCAAAGATTCCTCAAATAAACCACCAACACTTTGTCTTTGATTACCTACGCAAAAAAATATTGAAATGATTCATTTGTGAGCTCTGGGTGAGCACAGCTCCCTGTCAGAGTGACGGGGATGTTTGAACCCCCAGAGAATATTCATCTGTCGTTTGTGATCTGACATCAAAGTGTTAAACACTCAGAAAGCTGTCGGCGAGAACTGCCAGAGCTATTACAAATGACAAGGATGCAGGCAGTTCTTTGAGTAGTTAGCCATCTGAGTGTCTGTTCTCTTTCCAGGGCTTTGGGGCAGGAAACTTCAAGTCTCTCTTTGAGGCCATTGAATCAGACCAAGATGCCAGGGGCAACCTCACTGTGCTGACTTCCAAGGGACAGGCCAAAACCTTTCGCTGATCCACTGCCTACTGCTGCCTAACCCCAATGAGACTCCATAGGTCTATATCTAAACACCAACTACAACTACATCATCTAAAGAAGATACACGATTCCTAAATGTTCTAAACTGACTTTGGGTAACATCCGTTCTGCATGTTATGTCCGTACTAATGAATAAAAACAAAACACAAACAATCTATGACAAGAAATTGCAATGATTGTGTATCCCACACTGGATATAACACTGATATTTACTAAACTAGGCTAAGCTAAAATGAAATAAACTAAGGCAAACTAAGCTAAGCTAAAGATAAATTAACCTCCAGGTAAAAATAATGTCAGTCTCTTCATTTAATCGTCTTCCACTCAACCAAAGAACCATGTTTCCCCTAAATGTCAAACTTCTACTTTATCAGATTTTATTATATACACTTTGTTATAAAAATGATCTTAATATCTGTTCCATGCCATTCAAATAAAAAAAAAAAAGTTGTGACATTGAATAAAATGTAAAAAAAAAAAAAAAAAAGAGAGAATTTCATGACTTGAAATCTTGTAAACTAGTTTTGGTTCTTTCTCTTTTTTTACATCCGAAAAACCTCTGAAACCTTTATTAAACCTTTAATCTGCATCTGTAGATGGCACAGTGAACTTTGTGAAATGAGTGAAGGGCAGAGTTTTTATTTCAAAATAATTTATTTGCATATAATTGGAATGAAGACAGGTTGATATATTTGCGATGGCACCAGTCAGTTTCCATACAGAAACACTCAGTCTATACAGAAACCATTCTTTCAAACCTGGACAAAATGGATAAATATATTAGTAAATAAATATATCAGTGACATGTCACTATATTGAAATGTTCTATTATATATAAAATACAACACTATTACTTTTCTGTTTTGTTGTTCTCTTTTTTATAAACAAAAGTATCCAAAATATACTGACATATCCCTTACAATTCTGGAGGGATCTTTCTTTTTACTCTGTTAGAAAAGGCAGTTTTCAGCTCATAATTCTTGCTAAACAAAAAAAAAACACATGAAAAAACACAAAGAAGGGATTTTAAACAGGATGAAATCTGTGGTGTCTCAGAATGCTACTTTTACATGATTTGGGGGCTGTTTCCATTAATACCATTAGACTTATGTGTGTTCTCTTTTTTGTTTCGCATAAAATCTTCCTCAGCCAAAGTGCTGCTTATAATTCAGTCATTTTCATCTCAGTTTCTGGGACCATTTGGGCAGAAAAGGGAATCCCTGATAGTTTAGCTAAAGGAACTCTGTGTGGACACATTCAAAGTGAGGTATTAGTGAGAGGAACTGCAGAGGATTCTGCGTGACTGTCCAAAACTGATTCCCACCTCTATTCTAACATGTTCTTTCTCGTCAGTGATGGTATACAGTGAAATTTAAAGGAGGGAGCAGAAGCTACGAGCATTTTGCCTCTGGTTCTGCAGGTAAAGAGCTAAGTGTCGGGAGCTTCTTGATTTTGTCTGAACGCATAAGGCACATGTGAGGGTTAAGTAAGTGCTGCAGTATCCACAGGCCTTTTTTCTCTGCTGCAGTCTGACCACCAAAACAACAGAGAGGTCCCTTCATGTGTTCACTGAGAGAAAGCCCATGCTACAACAGAATTGCCATTTCTTTGATCTCAGCTTATTTAGTCCTGGTGGAGTACAAAAGTACAAAATCGTGATGTGAAGGCACAGCCAGGCTGACGTTCGTCCACTCGGTGATCAGAAATTTTCTTGAAATGCACTTTCTGAGGACCAGGTAACAAAGATTTACACCTTAATCTTTTATTTAGATCTTTTGGGATGCTCAAACATTAAATTAAAAAAAACATACTAGCCAAATTGCATAATTTGTGTCTGTGTGTGTGTGGGGGGGGTATACGTTCACACTGCAGCCACATGTGGCCCAAAAGCCTGAACAGCATCAATCAGATAACAGCAGGCGTGTTGAAATGTTAACCTCCGCAAATAAAAATGCACAAAAAAACCCAACTAATTTAGCATTGCGGCCTGCAGTGTGAACGTACTCTTAGGTTTCTGGTTCGAGGAGGACCTTCCTTCAGGGGCCATTCCAGAATTGGCAGCATGCACAACGGAGGGGTTTTTCACACGTGTCTGTAACTGTGGGGAGTTCTCCTCGTGTTTTCCAGTGTTTGATTGTTCCTGAGACCTTCCTCAGGCTCAGCGTGGCTGTTTGAAATCATTGGAAAAGCTGCCGAAGCCGGGTCCGTTTAGCTCGGCCTCGCTGGTTAACAGCCGTTATGCCGTTGCTACGGTTTCAATGTAAAACATTTAGCAAAGTTTGGGATTCTGGAAGACGAGACGAGAGCACAGTTGTGTTTGTGTGCATGTGGTGGGGTAGATGAAACGTGAAGAGCCAAAGGAGGGAAGGAAAGGCCGTCCCTTAACCTGTGAAGTAACCGCTGGCGGGAGAAGTGACAAATACACAACGTTAGCTTGTAATGACAATAACATAATTCAGTCAAACCGGTTTGTTTTCAGAGATGAGGAAAAAAAGGAAGAAAAAAAAACAAAAAAACAGCTGCCATTATTGAAATGATGAAAACAAGGCCCATGCAAATTCCTCTGAGGGGCCGAGCATGAACCTTTCTCTCCATTTGGACGAGCCAGACTGCCACGAGGGTAACTTTATGTTGAGTTTGCAGACGCTACATTGTTATGAAAAACAAAAAATAAAATAAAAAAATCACTACAGCAGTACCTTTAAAGACCCCTCTGAGTGAGGCATGTTAAGAAATCTGAGCTGAGGTAGGCTGGAGAGAGAGGCTTCTCACAGCTGAGGCTGGACTCAGCGAAGGAAGGCACAGATCGGCGGGATTGAAAGTTAAGTACCTCTACTATGAATCAAGTTATTTAGCTAAAGAGAGAGGGATGCATAGTGGAGTCTCACTTCATGCAGGCTGGACACCCGACCGGGGAGCGTTAGCTGGCTGCTGCCCAGGGTTATTGTTCCTGACGGGTGAAGCACCTTTTTCCCCAGCAGGACCCCGACCTCACGCGTGTAGGTCGCCGTGTGTACTCGTATCAAATATAATGAAAAGCTATGCATTAAAAAAAAAGGAGGGGGAAAGTCATCTGAACAAAGGCATCGCTGGTGGAATAGTGTGGAAGACGCCGGGACCACGGGGGGGGGGGGCTTCTCCGTCCGGGCTGCTGTGCGGCCGGCTCTCACACCCCGGACTCCTCCTCTGATCCTGGGGACAGGAGAAGGGCTCGGGTCACATTACAGAATGGAATCAGAGGCAGCGCATTCCTTTATCATTTACAGATGGACGTCTGCTTTTCAAGCATTTGGCTTATTGCATTTTTAAGCTCTGTCATAAAAACACCTTCTGGACCAAGACAACGGTGTGTCCTCTACAAAAAAGTAAAATTTAAAAAGAAACACATGCAGAAAGTCGTTATAACCCCTTTTTTTTTAACACTGATCATCTTCTCTTTGGTCTTTTCTTTGGCTCCAAAAATGTCTTCTGGCTTTTCTACATTCAACGCAAACGTCATTCTTTAAGCCCTTTAAGTCCAGCTGCTGTTACTCACCCTGACTGTGGCGAAATGACTGGCAGTATAAACAGAGGTCAGCGCCGCGGTCGCCGGCCGGCCCCTGGTGGAACCGGCAGGGCGGCCGGTCCAGGGCGGACCCGGGTCCCATGAGCTGAGGCTCCGAGTGGGCCTGCTGCACGCGTTTCTGCCACACCACGTGCGCCCCGGCGCAGCAGGGCCAGTCCTCCATCCCCCCGGAGTCCAGGATGAGGGGCACGGGCAGCAGGGCCGGGTGCAGCTCGGGGGGGGAGCAGCAGAAGCCCGGGCCCTGGCCGTAGTGGATGTGGATGCTGTGGTCTTCGGGCACGTCCAGGCTCTGGTGGAAGCGGACAGAGGGCCCGTCCAGCAGGCAGCCCCCCACCCGGCCCAGGGGGGCGGGGGGGTGGCCGTGGCCCTGGTGGCAGCAGCGGCTCTGCAGCTGCACGGGGATGGGCGCCACCAGGACCGGGGGCCCCGAGGGGCCGGCGGGGTCACAGTCCTGGCACTCCGCCCCGGGGCCGGGCCGGTCCGAGGGCTCCGGCTTGGGGCAGTGGCAGGGGCTGTGCTTCCGGGGGCAGACGGGCGAGTCTTTGTCCGGCGCCGGAGCCGGGGGGGGCGCGGCAGCTGCGCCGGCCCCCTGCTCCTCGTCGGAGCCCCTGCCCAGGCCCTGGCCGTGCTCCCCGTCCTCGTAGTGGTGGTGCCTGTGGCGGTGGTAGTGCACGTGGCTGAAGACGGTCTGCGGCGGCTCCTCCGGGCAGCCCGCCCTGTTCACCACGGAGTCCAGCGACCTGGGCCGGGCCTGGGCGTCCGCCTCCAGGCTATCCTTGCGGGGGGGCCACCCGGGGCCCGGCCCGCAGTACACGAACGGGTCGCAGTCGCTGCTCAGGGAGCTCCGGAAGGTGGACCAGCTGCCGTAGACGCCCTGCAGGGACACGTCGGTCCAGTTCAGCACCGAGTCGCTGGACGAGCCGTGGCAGGGCCCCGAGCTGGAGTCGCTGGCCGGCCCGTCGGCCAGGTACCCGCTGCGCTCCGTGTGGTAGCTGCCCCCCGAGCAGCTGCCCTCGTCCTGCCGGCCGTGGAGCGCCGGCCCCCGGCCCTGGACCCCCGCCGCAGCGGCGGCGGCGTGCTGCAGCCTGGAGCCGGAGGCGCTGCGCTGGGCGGCGCAGCCGGAGCGGTAGGCGTGGCAGGACCGGCGGGGGGCGTAGTGGTGGGCAGAAGTCCTGCAGTTGCCCCCCAGTCGGTGGGGCCTCCCGGGACCTTCGGCGGAGTTGTGGTAGCCGCAGCCCCCGCCCAGCTGCCTGCTACTGAGGAAGTGCAGGGCCTGAGCGTCCATCGGGGGGGAGCCGCTGTAGTGGCCGAGGTTGGGGTAGGGTCCGGAGGGCCCGCGGGGGTAGTGGGGCCTCAGAGAAAAGGGGACGGCGTGCTGCGGGAAGGGGTGGTTGTGGGGGCCGCCGTAAGGCTGGGGGTGCAGGAAGGCCTGGCTCTGCTCTGGGATCTGCTGAGCTCTGCCCCTCTGGGGCTGCCGCTCGGAGCCTAAAGAAGCAAAAGTTAAAACGCTATTAGAAAAAGGCCCGGATATGTGTAACTACAAAATGCACCAACAAGGATCACGTCAACCAAAAGCCTTTCTCCCACTGACCGCCCCGCTCACCCATGATGTTGTGCATGCAGAGCGGGCAGGTCCGGTGCTGCAGCAGCCAGGGGTCCACGCAGTCTTTGTGGAACTCGTGAGCACAGGAAATGATCCTCAGGTGCTGGGATGGCAGGGAGAGACAGAGGCAGAGATGTGGATGAGCGGTGGCGGGTGAGGGGCGGCCGGACCGGGGGGGGGGGAGCGGCGTGCTCTCCTGGTACCTGCCCGTCCTGGAACTCCTCCAGGCAGATGGCGCAGACCGGGCTGGAGTTGGAGCTGCTGGCGGAGCCCCAGGCCGCGCGGTGGCGCTGGGAGCCCGCGCAGCTCTGGGAGCAGTAGGTCTTGGTCTCCAGCCGGCTGATGGCCCGCATGGTCTGCTGGTGGACCGAGTCCTGCGCGCAGAGGGGGGGGGGTCAGAAAAACATGCCCAACGGGCAGCCAACTGCTAAACGCTGCTGCTTCCACTCACCCAGGTTCTGGTGGACTTGCACTTGTAGCGGAAAGCAAAGATGAGGATGACGAGGAGAATGACCACCACGATGGTGAGCAGGATGCTCACGTCAGAGTGCTGCTGATGAGGGGAGCAAAAAGCAACTGTTAAGCTATTTCAGACACAATCTATTCCACTGAAACAACTTCTTCACTTTTTAAATAAGTGTCTGTGTATTCAACTCCAAAGCACAATAAGCAGCTTCTTGCTGCCTCCCCGATTACATCATGTCAATTTTCCTGCGAATCGATGGACGTCTCATCTGCTCCTCTGGGAAGAGTTCTTGTTTTTTGTTTGAAGAGACCGAGTGAGAATTCGGTGGGGCGCGTGTTTACTTAAGTGCTTACCCACTTAGATCCCACGTTTATGTCAATGACAACCATGGCCTCCTCGTTCTTGTTGACCAGTCCCATCAGCTCCTCGGCGTCCCTGGCCTTCACCAACACGACCGGCTGCCGGAACACGTCCGTATCCCGCAGCTGCGAGCGGAACCGAGCAGACGGTTTGGTGGAGAAGAGGCGGGAGGACGCCACAGACAGTGGCGGCGGGCACACTCACCTCGGCGGCGGCGTTGGCGTCATCGCTGATGTCGAATATGACCGCCTGGGCGCCCTTCTGCAGCGCCATGCGGGCCTGGGGGGGGGGAGGAGAAACACAAAAGGTAGAGACGGTGACCTGGGAGAGCTTGGGCCATCTCCAGTCTTCATTCGTGCACGTGTGTTAAACCATCACTAGGTGGCAGTCACACCACGGGCCTCGGGCCTCACGGGCCAGAGCCCGGGACCAACCCCTCCAGCCGCCTCCCCCCCGGCGCCAGACGCAGAGCGCAGGGCGCTCTCGGGCCGACTGAAAAACTGCTGCCCGACTCGAGGCTCATTTTCAGAGTCTGAAAACAGGGAACGGCCTGTTGGTAGAGCGGCAGCTACAAGGGGGGGAAATGCCAAATGACAGAAAATAAGTTCAATATCAGTCTAACATGCAAATGAGGCCAATTTTATATTCAAACTAGGGCACTGAGAATATGCTGTGCCACCCCCCCACCGCTCCGTGTCTTTCATATTGTCATCAGCAGTGAGTCATTTCAGAGCTTAAGCCACGCTCAGGGGGCACAAAGTCTAAACGCGCACACTTGTTTTAGTCTTTAGCTGTTTTTACTACAGATATACCAGTTTAGATCAAACGGGGGGGAAGATGTGTGTGTGGATGTGAGGTCTGGGTGCCCACATGGCCCCTTTGACCTGCCTCTGGCCAGAGATAGAGCAGCTGGGAACAACACGTGCAGGTACCTGCCAGACCTGTTTAATCTGGTCCACGTCTTTTTGAAAAAAAAACAGCAGTAAAATAAAAATGAGCTTGTTAAATCCACAGACTCCAGTAGCCCGAAATGAAACAGAAAGCACAAAGGGAGCCAAATGAAAGCCCTTAAAAAAATGGGTGGTCAGGTGACATCGTGCGAACACGTTTCAGAGCTGCTTTAGAGCTCTTCTTTTAACCCCCACAGCCCACTGACCTGACCTGCCCCACCTAGGAGGTCGACATTCATCAAGTCTGTTGATTTTGTGAAGCCGCAATTTCAGTGCTGATGAACTTGGACATGGAAAAAATTGATGTTTTCTAATAATCAAGCGGCTGACGTCACATCTTTGGAGTAAAGGAGCGTTTCTCATGGAGCCGGCGGTGGAAGCGGGAGCATTGATGAAGCACCGGATGTCATAAAGAGGTCAAGCCGCTTCCAGCTGTGTCGCAACAGCCGTTGCCGTTTCACCACGCCGGTAATTGGAATACATGTATGGGCCTACATGGGGCGCGGTCACGTGGGAGGAAAAAGTACTCAACATGTGGGAATCCGCTTCACCTGGAGTTCAAAAGTTCCCTCCACTGCGCGAGGATGTGGTCCAACACTCACGCACACGCACACACACGCACACTTAGCCCAATAAAGTTCAGGAATATATCATAATCTGCTTCTAAAATGAGGGCTGTGGTTTGTGTCATATCGCAGCGTTGGTAGAAGCGGTTCCAGAGTGTGTGCGGTTTGCCAAACTATGCGCCTCTGCTGAGCCACAGATCCGGAAGCCCGCTGAGAGATCTCATTATGTGATTAATGGGGAATATATTTAAACTTTAATGGCGCAATGAAATAAAAGGCAGGGCTGACGCTAACGAGACGGTTAAGGGGAGCGCTCCGACGTTTCCTGGTTTGTTTTGGTGGGGGCTGAGGCAGAAGAGGCTGGGTAAACACCCCTCCTCACCAGGTGAGGCCTGACACATGGCAGAAACGGAAAATTGAATTGAATTGAATTGAGAGCGGGGTGCAGAGAGTAAAACCTTCCTCAAAGCAGCAAAAGCCCAGGATTCCTCCACAGACCAGCCGACCAGCAAGACCTTAGCATTAACCGCAGCTGGTCTTGCGTAAACATCAGTGGAGAGCCAGGGATTCCAGCCAGCGGTGATCCATTACACCCCCCCGTGTTTTTTGGGCTACATCTACAAATTCAAGCAACCATCAAACGAATAAGACCCATCCCAAACAGAGATCACACACGGTGTGTCTTTGGGCCCGGAGCCTCAAACCCAAAACAACTCACACAAAAAGACATTAGGAAAAGCCATCTCTAAGTCCCACACCTTTCTGAAAACATGCAGCAACTAAGTCTAACTTTTTGAGTCCTTGGTGGTTCTATTATCCCCCATCACGATGCCCTTAATCACTGGGAGGAAAGCAGAACTGAGGGGTTAAGAGGCGAGCAGGTCGTGGTCCTGATGCAGCGTCTAAGGGCAGAGAGCAGAGCTCTGAGGATGACCGTCTCCTCGGTCATTTCCGCTCACTGGAACCATTACCGGGGGACTACTGGGACACATCGCATGCCTGGATGAGAGGAGGGATCAGGCTGCAAACCAGTGCCCAAAACAGGTGCCTATTAGTTCCACCTTCAAACTTCAAAATGGCAACAAAAGAGGTTTTACAAGCATGTTAAAATCTGTTTTTTCTGTTAATATGAGGAGTAATAGTAATGCTTCCATTTAGTTCTTCTTAAAACCTTCCGTTTCAGTCCTTTCCCCTCTTGTTTTTGACTTTTAAAAGCGGCTCGTAGGACCCAGAGACGGAGCAGATCAGAGGAAAGAGGCAGCAGCTGTGGGAAAGTGCTGTCTGATTTCACGGGGAAAAAAAGTCACATGCTGGCTGATCAGATGAATACGGTGGGTGGTCAAAGGCTGCAATGTGTGTCTTTCCCACCCTCTCTACTCACCTGATCAAGCACCATGTGACTGGTTCTTATTTCCAAAATTCGAGTCTCCATTCGAAGGGAACCCCTCCAGTCTGTCCCTGGAGATTCAGGGAGAACTGGATTATTTCAGGGGGGCAGAATGTGTACTTACAGAAGACATAAAATAGAATGGGGGACGGATGCTTAAAAAAAAAAAATCATAAAAGCTTACTCCCATTTATAGCTGATATGTGTGGTTCCATTTAATCTGAGAAGCAGACACATTATCCCACTGACCTCAAGTCCCTTATCAACAGGTGCCTCTAGGACATGGGTTCAAATAACTGCCCAGTTTAAAGTACATGATTATCTACTAAAAGCAAGAATTAAAATAAGACCAAATATCCCATTTTAAGTTGATATTGAAAATGCTAAAAAGCTAAAAAGATTACTTTAAGAGCTAAAATCCCAAAATACTTAGCCTTTCTTTATTTCTTTATTAAGTTTTATCTGCATAACAGTAACTTTTTCAGGATCTTATCAGCACAATAACAGGTGTCACCATTAACCCGCCGGGGGGGGTCTGCTCATTTGCATTTTGTCATGCCAGGCAGAGGCTGAACAAGTGGAGGACAAAAGAGGTGGCAGACCTTTAGAACTACAGAAGATTAAATTAATATATGAATTAATCTGAGAGACGCATCTGGACCATCTGCAGGATGGACCAGCCACCAGACCTCATCAGAAATGCTCCCCATTGAAAGGAAACGCACAGAAAAGGCTGAGCTGTGGCAAATGACTCAACAAGTGGACTGAAAATCCAAAGGGGGGCTTTGGGACGTCCTTCAAGAAGCCTGGAGAGCTACTTCTAAATGCTACTGAAAGAAACTACTTCATCTGATCAAAACCCAACATTCTGCTCTCGATCGATGAAAAAAAAAATCTAAAACACAACACGACAATTTACAAAGGCTCCCACTGACTTTTTCCTTGCTTCGGCGATTACTAAAAAACATAAGCACCACATTTGCTCTAAATATTGTTTACCTAACTTTGAGGCTGTGTATTTAAGTCTAATTGCGTGTAAATAATTGCTGTGTGTGTGAGTGTGTGTGAGCGGTATGATTGCCGGGTACCCGCCTCTGGCTGAGCGGCAGCTGAGCTGGTCGGGGGAGGGCAGGGTGTGGCCCTGCTGGGTATCCATTACTCATATGAGCTCTTTGATGTGGGGCCACTGGAGGGGGGGGGGGGGGGGGGGGCCCCCGTGGGGGGGGGGGGGGGGGGGGGGGGGGGGGGGGGGGGACACACACTGTATGGAGAGGAGGATGGAGGAGGGAAGCGGGCGTGTTGGGGCAGGTGAGGAGATTCTACCACTCAGGAAAAGTTCAAGCCTCGGGGGGGGTGGACCTGAATCAAACACTCCTCCCCCCTGCGTTTACCTCGCATTGATCCCAGCGCTGCCCCCCCCACCACACACACACATTCACACACACACACACACACACACAGAAGAAATAAATCCAGGAGCTTTGCTTGGCCAACTTTCTCTAGCAGGGGAAAGAGTCATGCTGGAAAAAGTTTGGAGGCGGACCTGCCTGTGTGGCAGTTAGAGAGGTCAGCCCCCTCTTCCGCCGCCCCCCCCCCCCCCCCCCCCCCCCCCCCCCCCCCATCCCTCATCGGCAGCCTCTGTCACACGCATTTGAAATGCAAAGCAAAAGGTGACAGAGAGACCGGTGTCATCTGATACGCTAAACACATCAGTGCAGCATCAAAGGGGCAGAGCGGCGGGTGGCTTGTGTCCGGGGGGGGGGGGGGGGGGGTGGGGGGGACAGCAGCGGGGATGGAGGCCAGGCACGACCACCACCGGCCAGCTGACCCCTCCAGCTGACCCCTCCAGCGGACTTCTCTCACGCAGCATTTTAGAACACTTTATGTCACAATATAAGCAACAGAAACTAGACTTGAAAGCGAAATCTCCAGCCGGATACGACCCCAGCTCAAGCCCCCTCCCTCCTTTCACTTTCTGCCCCCAGCTGTACAAAAGCCAAGCGGCAGAGAGGTCACAGTGGACGCACAAAGCTCCAAAAACCAAACACTGAGACGTCACATCGACTGAGTGAGCTCTCTCTCTGGTCTCAGTTAACGTCTGTCCTGCTCGGCTTTGAAGTTGTTCCCATGGCAATATACCCAAATTTAGGAGGCCAGAAAATCCTGCCGGCAAAAAAAGAAAAGAAAAAAAAAAAGGAGTATACACCAGGTCTGAATGAAAAAAAACACAAAACGTGACATTTCCATTGCTGAGGTCCCTCCTGGGGGGCTTGGATCCATTAACAGTGCTTCACTTTTTTTTTCTTAACCTCCCCAGCTATTCAGGACTTTAAAAACATTTTAAATAAATGGTCCGAGATACCAATCTTCTTAAATTAAAGCAAGTGTGATTCGACAGACCAGTGCATCCTTATCCCTGCAGCAAATGTGACGTGGTCAACAAACCTGAAGCAAACTCATGTGCACGTTTGTGTAGAAAATAGTGACAGAAAACAAGATCAAAGCAACATGCTGTTTATTGACCTACCAGTGGGGGGCAGCAAAGATGGAAACTTTCTCTTCATAAACAGAAGAAAATAATGCCGGCTTGGTTCAAACGTACTAATCTAGTTCATATATACACAACATAAATGAATGCAGCTTAGAGAGAGTTGGATCTTTGGATAAAAAGCAGCGCCGCCTCACTTCCCCACATCCACACACACTCACACACACACACACTCACACACACACACACACACACACAAACACACATGCCTATTTAATGGCATAGCTGTGAAAGTTGCCACATGATGAAGCTGAATGATACCGCAGAGGAGCTGATGTCTCTCCAAAAACAATCAATGCATTCACGAGGTTTAATTCTCCTCCGAGTGGAGGAAAATAGCGTTTTATGTCAGGCTGGGGTCTGCACCCTGACGCATTCCAGCCGATGTTGTGAATGACTGGAGGAGAGCGGGCCGGCGTCCTGCCTTGTTTTGTGGCTGTGGCGATGGGCGTCAGCGTGGAGGCTCAGGGGAAACCAATTAAAGGGCCTTTCCCGGCCTTTCAAGCGGCAGATAATGTCCTTGTTTTCATAAAGCATCCTGTTATTTAATCAGGCCTGTAAGTGAGAGCCTGACACCCCTCCTACAGGGCAGAGCGGCCTCCCTCCTCTCCCTTCCTCCCATCATTCCTGTCCTGAGCCCTCCATCTCATTCAACAGCTCTTGTAAGCCTGCAGGAATTCATTCCTGGAACTGGCTGTGCAGAAAGCTGTGCCTCTCTCTGCAGAGCAAACGCACACC